TCTATCTATCTATCTATCTATCTATCTATCTATCTATCTATCTATCTATCTATCTATCTATCTATCTATCTATCTATCTATGGCTGTGTGTGTGTTGTGTGTATGTTCCAGTATAACACTGGAACGTCTCGAGCAGTTTCAACTAAACTTGGTGTACAGATGACTTACTCTCTGGAAACAAATACTGTGGGAGTAAGACACACCTAACACCCCATAGGGTGTGGGTGTGTCTGTGTGTGGGTGTGTTCCAGCATAACTCTGGAACACCTGGACCGCTAAAATGAAAAGGACTGAATTATATCTATAGTGTCAAGTCACAGTGGTTTTGACAGTGATAGTGTGTTCTGTTAAGATACAGCCTGTTGTGCCTTAAAATGGCTTCAAGTGTACAGCACAGTTGCCATTGTTAACAGCTTTGCAGTACTCCACAAGGGGGCTTCCTCTAATACAGGTTTGGGATAAATACATACCCGGGCTACGCCGAGTTATCAGCTAGTCAGATATAAAATCCACCATGGCAGGAGTCACATCCTGAGTTTACAAATGGGTCACGTTTTGGACAAGGTTCTTCTTGCTTGTTTCCTATGGAAGCACTAACTGCCAAACTATAATTCTCCCAGCATGCTAGGTGGAAGGTCAGGCCTCTATGCAATGGTCTTTCGGTACCCAGGGCAACAGAGAGACATTTGAGACACGCCAAAAGGCCCAGAGATCTTCTCCTGAGCTTACCACAGTGGCTCTCGTCGCTACTGTCTCCACAATCGTCCTCCAGATCACACTTGTAGGACAGGGGGACGCAGGTCCCTGATTCGTGGCAACGGAATTGGGTGTCAGGATCACACACCGTCGTTGCTGTTATCACACAAAGAAAAAGAGGCCTTCTAACATCATCCATATCTCACATTGTGACGTCAACAGCACCAAAAACATTCAAGCCATCCCATCAGGACTCATTTCAGAGCCACCTTAGATAGTTTCGGTAGAACCAGCGTATGGTGTGATAATGGAGGAAAGGGTTGGAAGACGAAATGTGAAGCTTAAACTTTGCAGAAGCTTCAGGGCCTGGTTTCATCTTTTTTTTTAAAAAAGAGTTTTATTCAAAGCATTTTTTTGAATACAATCTATTGTCGGTGTGTACCATTTGAAGAAAAGAAAGACCAGAGGAAAAAATAGTTAATAAATATTAACCGCTAAATTAATAATAGTAATAATAATATGTACTAATGAAAATAACAATGCTATAACCAAGTAGTTTTAACAAAGTTTCTTTTTACTTTTGGCTGATTTACATTTTTGTTACTCGTAATGATTGAAGTTATAAACCATCACTATTTTTAATGCAAACATTCATAGTCTTTCTCTAATTTTCTATCTCTTGTCTCTAACTACTCATAAAATCTATTCCAAATCAAACAATATTCTGTGTCTGCCTGCCAAATGCTGGAAATGCAAGCAGTCCTCGGGCACCTACTATCATATGTGGTGGATGTGCATTAAAGCAAAGAAATATTGGGAGAAAAATACATAACTGGCTGGAAAAGATTGTTCAACAGAATATAGATCTGGAACCGGAAATATGTTTGTTGGGCATAACGCCATTGGGTTATGATAAAGGGACCACATATTTAGTTTTACATATACTAACAGCAGCAAGGATCATATTTGCAAAATACTGGAAAAATGACAATACCCCATCGGATGAAGATGTGATTCAAAAAATTTTAGACAGTGTGGAAATGGACAGACTAACTTTAAAAATAAAAGATAGAGAGGGCCACGTTTCATCTTTTAAGAAGAGAAAAGCTCTCTCCAAATTTAGAATCACAGGGCTGGAAGGGACCTTGGAGGTCTTCTAGTCCAACCATCTCTTGCCCAGGGCAAGAGACCTTTTTATCATCCTTGACGCATCTTTTCTTGAAAACCTCCAGCAATGGAGCACCCAACTCTGGGAGGCAATCTGTTCCATTGATTAATTGTTCTCCCTGTCAGGAAATTCCTCCTTATTCCACCCTAATCAAAAGGACCCTTTGTTGTGGCCCACCAGCAGAGCTGGTAGCCGATTCGGACAGTGAGGAGGTTGGGGAGGAACATGGGCCAGTCCTGGAGTCTGGGGAAGGCTCTGATGAAGGCTCTGTGTCGGAGGCAGAGAGGGGGCCAAGGCCGTCTGGCAGTTCTCTTCGGGGCTGGACAGCAGTGAGGCAGAAAAACAACTGGAGCCTGTTCCTAGTGTGCGCATGCGCAGAGCTGCCGGAAGAAAAGAACAGCTAAGAAATCAGGGTCGACTTGGGAGTCAAGCCACAGGTGGACAGGGATTGGCCCCTCCCATAGGAAATAAAAAGAGGAGCGAAAGTGGAGTGGGCTTTTGCAGGAAACGATTCATTCGTTCGTTCGTTTCAGGAGTGTGAAGATCTGTCCGT